AAGGAGCTCGGGTGGCGTAATGCCTAAGGCATTTGACTGCCAACCAGAAGGCTGGTGGTTCAAACCCACCAGCCACCCTGCGGAAGGAGGACTGGGCATTCTACTTACATAAAGATTTACCTCCTCAAAAACCTAAGGAGGGGTCACTATAAGTCAGAATCAACTGGATAGCAGTGTTTGTTTGTTTTTAAAATTCATATAGTTTAAGAAATATATTTAAGCAGCTTACAATGATATATAAACCCGCTGCCGTCAAATCAGGCCTGACTCACAGTGACCCCTCTTTGGGTTTCCGAGGCGATATCACTACAGAAGTAGATTGCCCAACCTTCCTTTCAGAGAGTGGCTGGTGGGTTTGAACCGCCAGCCTTCTGGTTAGCAGTCAGATGCCTAAGACGCTACGCCACCAGAGCTCACCTATTATTCATGGTTGAAATTGATAATAAACATTACCAAGTATTGTCTGGTTTGCTACAGGAGGTCCGTGGGGGTACTGACACTAGGCGTTATCCCACTGGTGATGCAAACCCTAGTGACACTGCTGATCTAAGATTTTTTATTTTAGGAGATACCGTTATTTTTCACAAAATAATTGTACTATTTATGTTAACATGTAATAGGTTCACTTTCGCTATTTTAAGCAAATTAATAAATACTGTAAACATTTCTTAGGATTTCTAACATGGTAAGTGGTGACAGCTATAACCCAAAAAAAATCTCTTTGGGGTCCTCAATGAACTCTGAAGGGCATAAAGGGGTCCTGAGGTCAAAGTGTGAGACCACTGATCTCCAGTTTGTGTCTGTCTTCAGCCTGAGAACGGAGTCAAAACACTGCTTGCAGGAGTTACTTCTGCGTGCTGTTACTGATAGGAACCACAGGTTGGACTGTTGGTTTGGTCTGTGTCCCATCCTCCTTGGGTCTACAGACTTCCTATCTCTTTTCGAATGTGGGAAACATTAACGTGGCTCCAAAAGGGGCATGTTTCTTCTGACTGTAAAAGCTCCCTGGTGAGGAGGAGTGAGGGCGGAGCCCTATTACATAAGAGGGCCCCCCGACCACCCTTCCCGCTTGCGATTCCATGACTACCGAGTCTGTAAATATTTGTCTGACCCTGCTTAGTGATAAACTTCAAAATATGTCAGTAATGTCTTCCCGCATGCCAAGCATCTCTGTAGCGCCACTTAAGGGAGGAGAGTGGTGCTGGGACCCAACCAGCCCTTCTTCTCTTGGGGCTTATGGGCAGCAGAGGGCTCAGGGTTGTGGGGCAGGCAGTCTGCCCCTCTGGTCCCTGGATCGCAGCCCTGCTGCCCCGCAGCCGTCTGCAACCTCGCACAGGCTAAAAGGAGTGGGCTCAGCATTTCGTTGGCTCCTCACTGACTCCTTTCGTTTCTGTCTGAAAGGGGGCTGGGGAGTGGTGTCAGGAGGCAATTTAGGGCAGTGTGGTTGGCGGAGCTGCTCCTACCGAGGTGACAGTGACAGGCTGCGGT